ACTCTCTGCTGAAGTGAGTGGCAGAGGTGTATTACATCGACTAGAAGATGTATATCTACCGTGATATTTTTCGATGCGTTTAGCGATTTCCTAAAATTTAAACAATAATTTATTAGTTTAAGTACCTATGATAAACTACAATTATAAATAAAAATGTAAAATCATAAAATGTTGGATACAAACATAATTTTCATCTCATCACTGCTCCGCTGCACTATTACCTCCAAAACATTCACACCAATCATTTCTTTAGACTTACTAAGACATTTCTGTATTYCATAATATTAACATTTCCCAGTAACCGTACAACTTGCCCCATATTATTTTAAACATATATAATATTAGATTATACAGATATTAAAATTAAAATTTGAAAACAAAATAAAAATATTTTATTTTTGTAGCATACACAGGTTGCGGCTTAAATCACATACKATAGATATACCCGTTATGTTGTGTATTTGATTTGATGTCAAAATGAGTGAAAAGCTAGAGCCTTGGTTCTTACTGTGTAAGTGTAAATGATTGATAACCCAGGATATTACTAGAATAAACAATTTGAATAAATAGGGCAGCAAATTTTTTTACTTAAAATAAACAATGGTTTTAATATTAAATTTGCTATATTATGTACTTTTGAATGAGGATAAGAACATTTATTTTGCRTTATCTGAAATTTTGTAGCTTTTAAAGTTATAAATATAAACAATTTTTATGATATTTCAGATTTATTGGAGCATTTTTGAGTTTTTAGAAACAAAATATGAATTTGAAAATTCGTTAAAAGATTTTTATACAGGCTGATTCTTTTATCAAACAACACACATTATTTCAAAAACTATTGACTTCTTTCAATTTTTTTTTTTTCAAMATTTWAGATCCATCTTGTTCTAGAACTATATATTTTTTWAAATATTTTCAMMCTTATATTTATCAGGTAADCCATTATCAACTTTTGATTTTCAAATGACAACCTATACTTAAAATGTCATAAACTAAAAAGGCTATTTTTTCAATGAATTTTCACGTTTAAATTTTAAATTTTCGTTAATCCATTTACGAGATATAGCCTCCCAAAATTGGGTAGTTTTGGGTGGTGTTAGTGTGTTATAGGTGTATGTTAGGTGGTATTACACACGAACACCATATAAGTGTTGTTTGATAAAAGATTCACTCTGTATACCGACAAGGAWTTTATATAAAYGGATAAATAACAGATTATAAAGTAACTAGGTATTTATAATTTTATTATATTAATAGAAAATACTTAAAATGTCAAAATCTAAGGCATGAATAAGGTAAAATAAGTCCATGAAATCTAGCTATCTTAAAATGTATATTTATTATTTTAATTTATACTAATACTTCTAATACATATTWAAAAAAAAATACAAAAATACACTTGTTATAAATATATATTTTTTAAATAAATGTAGTTATATCTAAAGATTTTTAGGGAACTAAAWTTCAAGCTCTATTTATAACTTACAATCTGAAAAATAAAAATAAATATGTAAGATGTTCAATGTAATCTTTATTCACCTATAATTAACTTTTTTTCCCATGAATTTACCTCATAAAATTAAAAGGCAAGAATATTATCCAAGGCACCTTGGACTTATTATTATCTTTAAATAAGTTATTGTCGTTSTCAAATTAAATTTTTTAAAGTTAAAAAATGACAATGTTTTCAGAAATTTATAAAAAATGCATTTCGCATTCAAATCCATCCCCTATTCATGATCATAATCTATTAATTGATTGTATATATTGTTAAGTACCTTGATTAAGATTATTAAACGTGATTTAGCTTACTGTTACTTTATTAATAATTGTTATATTATTTCTGTATTTGAAATTGGATAATTTGTATGTAGATAAAATAAAATAATTATTTCAACCTTTTCTTATTATAATTAATAGAAAAATKTGGCAGACTGTATAATATGTTGTATAGAAACGTGCAGTAGACCACATACAAAAAGAATACAGCTAATATTTACTAATTTTYATTATATTGCCACCACCCGTTGAGTTCAATAAACGTAAACTATAACATTTATTAATTATATAACAATATAAGTAATGAAAAGTATTTTTACAATTTTTGAATTTTGTTTTAAAATTTGTTATTTCTATTTCAAATTATAAGGATCTGTAAAAGCCTAAAAGGAAATGAAAAAAAAAATAACAAGAGACTGTAAAAAATAGAAATTGAGGAACTTTGAGAGAACATAAATCAAATAAAAATTATAAGAGAGCAAACAATAAATCCAAATTTTTGGAAATAAAATGTAAAGTTTACCTATAAGAATTAAAAATGGTGTAATGGTTAACATAATTACTTTTTATATTTTATGTTATGAAGTATTAATTAAGTATTAAGTATTAATTAAGTAAATACAATTGAACCATATAAATTTCTTTTAAATATTAAAAATACTGAAAAGAATATAAAAAACTATCAAGATTATTTTGTTTTTAACATAGAAACTCCATTTTTTTTTTTAGGAAACAGATTACAGTAAGTAACATACATTTAACATCCTATTGTATGAACAATGAGTAACAATGTCTACATATTTAATCCTAGTATTGAGAGRAGTGAGTTTTGGTAATACTACGACTTTCTGAAGGGATAATAACCTATTGTTATAACAATTTATGGAATMATTTAAATATTATGTATTTACTATATATATTATTAAATTATTATATTCAGTAGGWTARTTTAGGTTATTCAAACCCAATTYTATTAATAGCTTGAAAATATTGGTTAGCATTATGTACAATACAAAAACTAGATTTTTATGATGAAACCTTGAAAAAATCTTCTAGTTCAAAAATAATGACTAAAGTAGATTTTTCTACTTGTAAATGTAATTACTCTTGTACATAACTATTAAGATTCCATTAAAAAAACCTTGATATTTAACGAATAATGTTAGGTTTTAAGAAAGGGTTGTAYTAAACTGATGATTTTAATAACCAGGGGTTAATTTAGTTAATAAATGGCGTTGTGTTCATAATATACATGGACAATATTAAGATAATTAAATAAAACTAACTTGAGCCTTAAGTTTTATCTGCTTTGTTGTTAACTCCCCTTCATTATCATCACTATTATCTGAGCTTTTCTGATCCATATTGGTAAGGCTTCTTRATGTGTTGGTTTTCTGTTTCGTAATTTATTTCAAAATAAAATTTACTCTAAGACAGCTAAATGTAAAAAAACTACTACACTAAAACAAAAATGTAACAAATTGCTGTCAAAACTATAATGAAATTTTAATGGTAACAATTTGTGTGAATATAATGCAACAAAAAATGAAAAACGCCATGTTTTCAGAACATTACGACAATAWATGGGTAGGTAAAAGGTAACATAATTTATAAATTATAAGCTTAATTAATGATAGAGGCACGTCATAACACAACACAAGTACGAACTACGAATAACATGATTGTAAAAATGATAAGCCTCATAACACCACGAGATCATTTTTTTAAAATCGTTATTGATAACAATAAAATGATAATACACGGTAATCTACAACACGATAATGTTTATGATTGGTTGTTAATTATTTAATATTTACCAGTTCATATTTTCATAATATTATCGGTAAAATTGAAAAATATTGCGTAACAGCGTAACTTATTAACTAATTATTTTGAATCATTAGAAATCAGAATCATATTTGCTTCTTAGTACTTAGTCATGGTTTTCCCTGCACCTATAATAGCTACAGTTAACCTTAATCGAGTTAGTTTAGAGACACTCATTTACAAATGCTGAATAATAAAATTAAATAAAAGAGGTGCCTATATTGTAGTTGTCATCAAAATACGTATTACGATTACGTAATCTATGTTATTGATCTAATAATCTCAGGACAAACCGTTTTTTTTTTGTGATTTTTGTATAAAGATACATAATTAAATTTGTATTCGGTTAATAACATTCTACTGGATAAAATGGAAGAAATTGATGCGATAATATATTGTACTCTAAAAGATATTGGCTGGTGAGTTTATTTACCTAACTTAAATTTTAGACATGTTAAAATGAATTATATATTTATTATTGCTAATATATGGATAATATATATAGTATCATACATTACATTCTATATGGTGGAATACAAATTTAGTAGGTACTTGTTAGTGTTTAACACTGGTTGCAAGTCAACATTGTTTTCCATCAACTTTTTATTGTGAGTACCTATTCCTTAAGATGGCACAATATGTATTGTTCTCAAGTTTTACAAATGTATAACATAGCAAGTTGTATGTTCTAAATAATTCAATCAACTTTGTTGTGTCTAATATTAGAGTGAATTGACGTATTGTCAAATTCAGAAATTAGATTATCAACTAATTGATGGCATTATGATTTTTTTTATTAATTTCAGAGCAATTTAACATAAGTAATTAGAGTTAAATGAACTATAACATACAATTAAACAATTTGGTATGTTATGAATTTTTAGGGCAGACATAATATACTGGATATGACAAACTCGTAAAAAGTGAGGAAGTTGACATACTATTTTGTAGATATTAAATTTATTATTTTTATTAAAATATTTTTTTGAATGTAGTCACTAATTTTTACCTGACTAAAACTTAATTTTAACAAACTCAGTGTTAAGAATATTATATTTGGATGGCATCAATCATTTTGATTTTAATTTTATGGGCAAAAATGCACCTGTCCTACCCCCTCACGTTTTAAATTTTTTTCTGAAATGACTTATTTTTTTATGCTTGAAATGATGACACAACAAATTTTTACGGAAAATATTATTTTATAAGTTATAGTTTTGAAGTTTGTGATTTTACAACACTTGTTTGATTTAAGCCATAATGCTATATTAAGTTGTTTTGTAATTATGTTCAAGTAAACAACAGACTAATGATTACATTGTAACCCTTGCCTGTTAAATATAATGTAAGTATATTATG